TGTGTCCCGAGCTGGAGAGGCAGGAGGTGGAGGGAAAGTGTGTCCCAAGCTGTCCCTGAGAGTCACTCAGCAGGCACTGGCTGGGTCTAGGACAGGACATTAACTCTCAGCTTCCCTCTGGGATCCACGAGTGGCTGGGAGCACATTGTGGATGTTATTTTTCAGGTTTTTTCCCCTCTTTGTATGCTGAAGGCATCTGGGGCCTGGCACAAGGGGCAGAGCTGTCTGCTGCGGGATCCTGCCCCCTGTCCTTTGATCTGCCCCTTTTATTCACACCCTCCCTGCCTCCAGGCTCACTTCTTTCCATTCCCGGAGCTTTTGGCAGGATTTTGGGCAGGATTTTTGGCAGGACTGAGGCCTTTCCTGTGCTCCCTGYTCCTCTGTGCTCGGCCCCTGGTGTTTGTGGGGCTCAGGGAAGGGTGCAGCGCCCCAGGACTGCTGCTCCTGCCTCCCCCTCTCCCCGTGGGTGGAGTGCTGCTGGCTGGGATGGGCACGGAGCAGGGAAATGTTCCTGCCTGCCTGGGAGAGCCAGGGAACAGCTCAGAGGAAAAACTGAGGCTGTTTGCTTTGGTACAGGGAGGTTGGCAGGGCCTCGGAGGAGGAGGGCTGATCCTCTCCCGCTTAAAGGATGAGTCTGGGAGTGAAAATAACCCCGTCTTGCAGGTTTGGGAGGAATTTTGTGCCTCTGTGCAATGCAGAGCTGATGAGAGCTGCCTAGAGAGCTCTGTGAGTGTCTCAGCATGATAGGGAGGGTTTATTGTAAGGATTTAGGAGCACTTCAAAGTTAAAAAAAATCCTTTAAAAACAGAAAAGCATTTTTATGTGTTCCTATGCCACTTCCCCGGAGCTAGAAACAAAGTCATGTGTGTTTCTGGAAGACCAGAAAGCAGTGGAATTCTGCCCAAAACGGGCTCAGAAGACCACGCAGGTCAGCAGGGTCAAGTGGCAGAGRGAGCTGGGGGAGCTGCCCAGCACCACAAGAGGTATTTGTGCCTGGCATTTGGGGTCTGGAAACCCAAGGTAGCAGGAGCCTYGAAGAGAAGGCCCCTCTGTGCAGGGGCAGCGAGAGGTGAGGTGGCACAAGAGGGCTCTGAGTGTTGAATGTCACCGAACAACGGAGCTCTGTGAAACCCCRCAGGGAGTGACCTCAGCTGGGATGGGTCCAGCTGGCTCAGCAGGGCTGGGCAGTCCCCGGCTGCTGCCCTTTCCTGCCCACTGGGACAGGCAGAGAGCAGCAGAAATGAGCTCTTCACACTCTGTGCTGCTCCTTGTACAGGAATTCAGTGGTTTGGCTTCACTGGCAGGTGATTTCCACAGGGATTTCCACACCTTGTTTGCTCCAGGTGTCAGTGGTGCTGTCAGCTGCAGAATGGCTGGGGTTGGAGGTGTCCCAATACTCTGGTTTGGTGTCAGCAGTGATTTCAGAATGGCTGGAGTTGCAGATGTCCCATGCTCTGGTTTGATATCAGCAGTGATTTCAGGACTGGGGTTGCAGGTGTTCCATGCTCTGGTTTGGTGTCAGCAGTGATTTCAGAATGGCTGGGGTTGCAGATGTCCCATGCTCTGGTTTGGTGTCAGTAGTGATTTCAGAACTGGGGTTGCAGCTGTCCCATGCTCTGGTTTTGATTTCTGGCCACTGTCCTGTTCCAGATGTCATCCGAGCCAACCGGCTCCATGCCACAGATGTCACCTCCAGCAGCTTCCGCCTGATGTGGCCCAAACTCCTATCCCAGGACAGTGGCTACTACACCCTGGAATACACCCCAGCGGCTGATGTGGCAAGGAAGAGGACCCAGCAGGTGTCTGGGGCTGTCACCAGCCTCGTGCTGAGCGATCTCGAGCCAGAAACCACTTATGARGTGGCCCTGATCCCTGAATCCAACGTGCACTACTTCCCACCCCAGACCACGAGGGTCACCACGCTGGCAGGTAAAATTGGTATGGCTTGGGCACATTGCCTTGCTCTGGGGACAAGGAGATGATCCCTGGCTCCTGCCTGAGGCTGGAGGGTGCTGGATGTTGATACTCATCCAAGTCAGCAAAGCCCAAAGAAAAAGGGTTTCTCTTTTTCCCTTTTTTTCCCCTTTTTTCCCCCTTTTTTTTTGCCCACAAAAAACCTAAGGGAAGCCTCTGTTTGAGAGGACAGGAGGAGGGAGTGCTCAGAGCAGGAAGCAGCTCCTCTGTGCAGAAAAGAACTCAGATTTATGCTGGATAACAGCCTGCAAAAAGGTGACAAACTGAAAACCTGGGCAGGGGTGGCAAAGTCAAAGTGAGCTTGTACAAAATATTAATTTTCTGTCTGCAAGAACAACTCTGGCTGAGCTGTTCTGCCCACAAAGAAATCTTTTTTCTTTGGCTTGGATCAGTATCACCATCCACTTGCCGGGTTGATTTTAACACCCCATCCTTCAAGCCCAATGCGATGCAGCTCAATAAACTCACATCTCATTCACATCTCTTTGCATTCCTTCCAGAGGAAATCAGCCCAGTGCAGGTGCTCATCTCCGAGTCTGGCCCACGCAGCTTCCACGTGAGCTGGGCTCCCCTGCTGGACAGCGTCCTCAGCTACCGGGTGCTGTACGGGCCTCTGCCGGGGAACGCGGTGACGGAGCTCCAGCTGGACGGGAGCCACAACAGCACCGTGGTGGAGCAGCTGGCACCCAACACCACCTACCTGGTGACAGTGACGGCCATTTATAAATCTGGCAAGGAGAAATCGCTGTCAGCCAAAGCCTGCACCCAGGAAGGTGAGCGAGGCTGCACCCTGAGGTGTCCCCAGAGGGTCGCCTGTGCCCAGGGGAAGGCAGAGGGGTCAGTGGATGGGGTGGTGTGCAGGGGGAAAGCAGCTCTGGGTGTGCCAGGGTGCAGCAGGTGTGGAAAGGCTGGAGGAGAATCACASAGGGAGTGACAGAGCCTGAGCTGATGGGGCAGTCATGGCCAGAATTGACCTGGAGATCCAGGAATCTCCCTAAAATAGTGAAAAACCCTGCCTTTCCTGTCTCCTCTGTGGCTGCTCTGGGGCAGTCACAGCCAGAATGGACCTGGAAATCCAGGAGCCTCCCTAAAATAGTGAAAAACCCTGCCTTTCCTGTTTCCTCTGCGGCTGTTCTGGGGCAGTCACAGCCAGAATGGACCTGGAGATCCAGGAATCTCAGTAAAATAGTGAAAAACCTGCTTTTCCCTCCTGTCTTCTCTGTGGCTACTCTGGGGCAATCACAGCCACAACGGACCTGGAGATCCAGGAGCCTCCCTAAAGAAGGGGAGGTTCAGACTGATTTTATCCCTGCACCAAACCAGGCTGGGGCTGAGCTCCTTCACTGGGGAGATCCAGACCGATTTTACCCCTCCAGAGCCCAGGCTGGGGCTGAGTTCCTTCACTGGGGAGGTTCAGATTGATTTTATCCCTCCACCAAAGGAGGCTGAGGCTCAGTCCTTCACTGGGGAGGTKCAGAYTGATTTTATCYCYACACCAAACMAGGYTGAGGCTCAGTCCTTCACYGSRGARATGCAGATTGATTTTATTCCTCCACCAGCCCACCTGGCTGGCAGATTCCCCTCGGGAAGAGCAGGGAACGTTCGGAATCACCCTGAAACCCTATCCTGCGTTAACACGGCCCTTCTCTCCCCAGAGGGCTCCCGAGTGAGGCACCTCCGCTTYGAGGACGCGGGTCCCAACAGCCTGAGAGCGTCCTGGGACTCAGCCGACGGGGCGGTGCTGGGTTACCGGGTGCGGTGCCGGCGGCAGAGCGGCCTCTCCTCGGTGCTCAGCGTGTCCCCGGAGGTGCGCAGCGTTCTGCTGACCGAGCTGCCCTCGGGCACCACCAGCACCGTGTGTGTCAAGCCCGTGTACAGCGAGCAGCCCGGCAAGAGGCTCTGCCGCACGGTGCGCAGGCAGCCAGGTGAGCAGGGGACAGGGAATGTCCTCGGCCAAGTGTCCCCAGGGACCCCGAGATCACACAGGGGTGCCCAGAGCTGGGATATTCCATGCTCATCACCCTTCTTCCAGCTTTTCCTGGGTTTTTCCTCCCATTTTTAAGAGTAAGACTCCTCCTAGTGGAGTTTATCGCACGCAAGAGGAATAGTGCGCAGTGGAGTTAATTTGGGATGAGAATAAAAGCTGGCATGGGCAGTGGAAGTGCTGTTTAAAAGTCATTTGAATTCCTGGCTACCCTTCACTGCCCAGCGTGGCAGGCAGCAGTTATTAAGCCAGTTTTTAAGACAGGAGTAGATTATTATTAAATTTATTAAGAGAGAAGCAGATAATTATAAAAGCCAGTTTTTATGACTGGAACAGGTAACTATTAAAAGTTATTAAGACAGGAGCAAATAATTATAAAAGCCAGTTTTTAAGACAGGAACAGGTAACTATTAAAAGTTATTAAGAAAGGAGCAAATAATTATAAAAGCCAGTTTTTAAGACATGAACAGGTAATTATTAAAAGTTATTAAAACCAGAGCAGATAATGATTAAAGCCAGTCATTAAGACACAACACATCTCCTTTCTTCCTTCTGCTGCCCAAAAGCCACTTTTTGTCAAGGAACATTGAGGATTCCTGCTAGGATGGAGTCAGAGCTAAACACAGCAGTGTGGCTGTGCAGAAGCTCGGCCTTTTACCCAACAAAAGCATTTTTATTTGAGAGCAAAAATGACCACGGGGGTGAGATTTCTGCTCATGGGTGGGTAAAGCTTGACTTTGCATTCCTTGTGTTTCTCCAGCCACAGAGGCCCAGGGATACAAGCACAGACAGAGAGCGTGACAGAGCACAGCGAGCGGATTCCCAGCACTGCAAGGGATCTTCTTGGACACGGACTTGGACAAAAAGGAGGAGCCAGGGGAGGAAATCCCTCATCTCCCAGCCTGTGCTGTCCCCTGAGGTGTCCTGCTTGTCCAGCCCACAGCCTGTCCTCAGCYGAGCTCTCCCAAAGCTGAAAGGTTTGGCTTGGCTGGCTGCAACAACCAATCTGACCTAAAAGATGCCAAATCTGTGCCCATTTTATCTAAAGATGCCTGGCAAATAACAAACAGAAGGCAGAGGGGTGAATCCTCACTGTTGCTTGCTTGCTGCCTGTTCTCTATTTATGAAAGGTCGATACAGTTTTGTTTTTGCAGCTCATGAGCACGTTCAGGACTTTCATCCGGGTTGCTCAGAGAAAGATTCCACGTGGCCAAATCCATTCCTGCTGCCAACAGCTGCTGAATCTGCAGTGTGAGGGAGCAGGGAGTTAAAAAATCCTGGGAATGTGCTTCCCCTGCAGGGCTCTCAGCCCTCAGCTGAGCTCAAGGAGCAGCAGAGTCCAGAAAATTCAGACAGCAAGACCACCTAAAGCACTTATTTTTATTTCTAATTCACACACCAGTGTGGTCCTGCCTGGATCATCACCACTGGATTGCTCTGGCATTCCTGCAACCCCTTTTCACCAAATGGGAGTCTTGTTGTCTTAATGGAGATTAATTAACYTGTGACTGATTACAGGCAGTAAATCTCCAGCACTATCATTCCTCTCACAGCACATCTCTGGTGTCTTGTCTTGGGCTTCCACCCAGTGCTAAGCTTAAGCTACACTTAAAAATCAAGGTTTTAAACACTTTAAAAAGATMTTTTTAAGGGAGAAGAGTAAATTTGGTGCTTTCCCTTTGATCCCAGGCTTGAGCTTGCTGTCACTAAACTACTCTGGATAGGGGAGCTGGTAAAAAAAAAAGGCAAATTAATTATAAATACCTTGTGACCAAGCAAATGGTTTCAAAGTTCAGGGCTTAGGGCTGTAAAGAAATGTTTATATTTCTCTGCTAAACCCCAGCATCAGGGTGAACACCCTCCTTCAGTAACACTTGCTCWGTTTTAAATTTGTTGCTTTTTTGTCCTACACGCTGAACTTGTTTTCAAAATTGTTGGAGAGCCCCTTGAGGCGTCCCAAAYCTTTCTTAAARCAGCTCCTTTTGGAAYTTTATCCCTGATCTCCTCTCCTGARCACTGAATCCTTCATCTCCACCTTCATGGAGCATTTTCCTYGGGCTGCCTCATCCAGGAGGAAGGGATGGAAAAGGAATTGAGTCATTCATTAACTCTACAAAGAGATTTTCACATGATTCGTGCCCTCCTYTGGAATGTGCAGTTTGTGACTGATTAATCTCAGTGGAGAAGGGGTGATAAAGCCCCTGGAAGAGCTCACGTGATGAGATGATTCTGTTTGTTCTTGCTGTAGGACAGAAATTCAGTTTGCACAGCTCCCTGCATAGTTAATTAATCCATTAATGTGTCATCAACCCCCCTTCATTTGTAACACACCCTTTTGAAGACAATTAAATATAAATACGAGAGCTTCTGAATGGTTCCTTTGTGCTCCATGGTGAAAACAGCAAATCTGTGAATTGTGGGTTTTGTTCTAAGGGTTGAAAAGCTGSCATTCACAGAATTATAAAAGTTGGGGAAAGCTGAGATCACCACGTTAAATCATTGTGATTTTAAAATGACTGGGAARTGAGTGTTCCACCCATGACTGCATAGTCTGGGTTACAGGAAATTTCATCCCRTCCCTCAAAAAATGTGTTGAAAATGTAAAAATAGAAAAATCCCGGTCTTGGTGAAGTCGTGGTTCCGGTAAGAATTGTTGTACAAGGAGCCAAAAAGTCRCTGAAATCTTGGCAGAATTGGTAAATATTTATGAGGAACACASTCAGGCACAGGGTGGGATTTTTGGGGTGTCCTGTGTGGGGCCAGGAGTTGGACTCTGATCCTTGTAGGKCCCTTTCAGCTCAGGAAATCCCTCGATTCCATGATTCTAAGCATCCATTTTGGAAGAAACAGGGAAATTTAAATAAAAGAACAGCCAAGAAGGCACCCCCAGCCTGTGGTGCATGCTCCAGGGGTGCTCCAGGGGTGTTCTACATTTTACCTCATTTCAGGCTGCAGAGTTTCATGTGTTTCTGACTTTCACAGCACTTCCCTTCTCTAAAGCCTTTCCTATCATCTTTCCCATTCCAAACAGTTGGATAAGAACCTGATTTCCACGGGAAATCCAACTCTTTATCCCAGATAACCACTGAGATGGGTTTCCCTGTGCTTCCCTTCTGTGTCATCTTCTGTGTCATCTGTGTTGCTTTAGGTCCTGATTTGCAAGKAAATCCTGCTCTTTATCCCAGGTCAGATGGGTTTCCTTTCACTCTCTTTCTACAAAAGCTTTTACCTTGCCTTTCCCATTCCCAGAATTTGCATAAGGAGCTGACCTCCATAGCAAATCCCGCTCTTTCTCCCAGATAACCACATTGATGGGTTTCTCCGCGTTTGCCCTTCTCTTTTCCGCTTTCCCCTCGCTTCTCCCATCCCAAGGAACCGATTCCCAGAGGAAATCCGGGATAACCCCAAGGCCGCGCTCCGCCTCACGGCCCTTAGCAACACCCCACACTCCCGTTGCTACGCGGAAGCGCCGCCCGCTTTGTTTGTCCTTCCCGGCTCTCCGTCCCCATCCCGGTAGTCCCGCCCCTCTCTCCGCTCTCAGCCAATCAAACCCCACACGCGGCGCCTCTCCGCCAATAAAAACGCGGCGTGGAGCCCTCGGTGGTGACGCACCCTCCACCGCGGGCCAATGGGAGGCCGGCCCGCCCTCCCGCGCATGCGCGCTGGSCGCGGCGCGTCCCCCGCGTGCAGCCGCCGCCGCCGCCCTCATGTCGTGGCTGTTCGGGCTGAACCGCGGGGCCGCCCCGGGCGGCGGCGGGGACGCGGCACCCGGCGGCCCCGGGACAGGCGCGGGCAGCGGGGCTGGCCTCTCCCTGCCGCCCGCCCCCGGTGGTGGCGGCTCCGGGGACCGCCAGGCGCCCAAGGACAAATGGAGCAACTTCGACCCCACGGGCCTGGAGCGCGCGGCCAAGGCGGCGCGGGAGCTGGACGCGTCCCGTGCGTGAGGGGACGGGGCGGGAGGGCGGGAGAGCTCCTCGGGGTGCGTTAATGGCTGAAAAGGTGGGAGCGAGGATGGGCCGGGCTCTGCTCCGCGGGGCYCGGGATGGGACACGAGGAACGGGCAGGAGCTGATGCCCRGGAAATTCCACCRGGACGTGAGGAAGAGCTTATTTCATGTGCGGTGACCGAGCACTGGGATAGAGAGCAGAGAGGGTGCGGAGTGTCCATCACTGGGGGTATTCCTGGACTGTCCAGACACGATCCTGTGGAGCAGAGGGGGCACTGAGCCCATCCTGTGGTACCCCATGTCCTGACCAGGGCAGYCTCAGGCTCCTGCCGTGCTCTGTGGGGCACCAGGATCAGCATTTCCAGTCACTGAGCTCTGAATGCCTTCAACAAGGCTTGGGAAAAGAAAGAGAGACCCTTTATAAAGTCACAAAATGGGTGTGGAGGGAGCCCATCCAATTCCACCCCATGCCAAGGGCAGGGACACCTTCCTCTATCCCAGCTTGCTCCAAACCCATCCAACCTGGCCTTGGTTGAACCTTGGTTTACCCTTCTCCACAGGGTAAACCTTTCCACAGGAATGCTGAGAAGTTTCATGGCCGTTTTTACCAGGGAGGGTTAAATGTTCCATGGCAGAGCTGTGTTCCAGGCAGGCGTAGCTGGAGCTGTGAGGATTGAACAGTCTGAGGATCCTCTTTTCTCAGAAAAAAACCTCTCACTGTTTGTAATCTCTTCCCACTGTCCAGGCCATGCAAAAGATGCTCTGAGCCTCGCCCAGATGCAGGAGCAGACCTTGCAGCTGGAACAGCAAACCAAACTGAAGGTATGGAATCCCTCCTGCTGGAATTTCTCAGGCAGCTGCTARATTGGAAGGGACAGAAGCTGAAATCTCTTCTCTGCAGAGGAWGAGATGTTTTTCTGGTTGCTGTTCAGCTTCAGCAAATATTATTGATTTGCCTTTAAAAATAAAGCAGTTCTGGAAGGTGAAATACAAGCGAATTTGGCCAATTTGGCTATTCTGACACATATTTGRTGGCTTTGATTAAAACTTGCTTGTYCTGAGTGATTTTGTAACTCCTAGARTATCACTGCTGTTTTTGGGRTAATRACAAKGGTGTTCTGCATTTAAAGTAGTTGGGTGAAGGACAAAATTCTCAGGAATTTAGGGATTGTTTGKGTTTTGGTTGRTTTGTTGGATGTAATTTTTTWAATTGTGTTTCATCCTGAAATGGTTGATTATGACATTTCTTACCATCATATTTTATGATCATTTTTTAAGTGTACCACTCATTACAGAGGGATTTCTTGGACTACAACTTCTCTATAAAACGATACATTAAATAAATTCCTGATCATTAAAATCTCTCTTTATTTCACCAGGAGTAYGAAGCTGCCATAGAACAATTGAAGAATGAGCAGATCCGGGTGCAGGCAGAAGAGAGAAGGAAAACACTCAATGAAGAAACAAAACAGCATCAAGCAGTAAGGGAATGAGGGGGAAGCCAAGTGAGGGGAGACCTTGTTTGTATCTTCCCTTATGGAAAAGGCAATGATGCATTAATTATCCCAATTTTGGGGGGAAAGGAGCTTTTGGGGTCAGAGGTGTTGGGGGGTTCATAGGCTGAGCCCCTGTTCTGTCCTGGATTTGTAATGTTGAACTGGTTTTSTAGTTGCAGCTCTTCCTCTTGAACTTTTGTTCTCAAGTTCTTTAACATCCAAAGGTGTTGCATTTTTTCTCCTTCTGTTTCTTATTTTTCTCTGCTTTTTGGAATTTTTCTAAAGGATTTTTTAGGGAAGCATTGAGAAATACTGGATTAGCAAGTGTGGTGTTTAAGCCTGATGGTGAAATGGCTCTGAAATTATTTGGATTTCAATCTTAAATAGCTTGAAACCTTATTTCTTTCAAGTTAGCCAGGAAAAAAACATCTTAAAAGGAGAAATGGTGCAAATCTGAGGGTCTGTTGTGAGCAGCRTTGGTGCTTCCTGGTTTGTTTTAAYCCYAAAACAKGGAAAATAAAGGCTGSMCTTTATGTTAACRRCTCAAATATGGTGCCTTTTTACTCTGAGAGCACAGGAGATGAGGGAATTGATTAATTGGAATTAATTTTCCAGCTTGGGGAGTTTCTGGAGCTGTTCATTTGGCACATGGTACTTTCACCCTGCCAGAGTTTGGACTTTGAGCRGGGCTGGCCCAGAAGCAGCTGCACATTCAGGGGTTGGCTCTTCACCTCCTGCAGCTCACAGGGCATCATTTGAAGTCACAGCAAACTAAAGCATGGGTTATTCCTGGAGTTCTGTGTTTTACAGTTGCTGAGGAGATCATTCCCAAGTTGTTCTGCTGAGGAGATAATTCCCAAATTGTTCTGCTGTCYCTGTGTTTGGAATAGAGAATGATGTCACCCCTGGTGCATCCTCCATATCCTCAGCCCACTTCCAGTTCTGTGTAGATAATGTGGGTTTATTTGCCATTTACAGAGTAAAATTGATGAGGGGAATTAATGAGGAACAAGGAAATCCTTATCAAAACCTGAGCCCCTCAGCATATCCTGGCAGTTCTATTGCTTGCATCACCAGTCCAGATAATGTGGTTTAGAACATGAAAATCTTGTTTTTCCCAGTGAATTCTCCTTTTCTGGGCCAAAAAACACTTGCTCTTTGTTTTAATATCTGTGTTTTCTTAAAATGAAGTCAGACTATAGGGATTTCTCAGCATAAAGGAATTTTTGGTGCTGTCTAAGGATATTCTGCCCTGTTCATATTCMAACCCAGGATTATTTTTTGTTTGCATGGGTTTCCTCATTTTATTTTGTTTTTTTTTCTTTCTCTGCACAATCCAAACTTGATT